CATCTGGCCCACCTGTTCTCCCATGAGCTGAAGGCAGCGTAGGTGGCCCTCTGCCCCCTGCATCGTGTCCTCGCAACAGTCCTGTGTTCCTGGATATGGTGGGAGAGCACCACTGGTCCACAGCCATTTGTTCTATCTCAGGGCTGCAGGGGGATCTGAATGTGTGTTTCCTGAGTTCTAGTTTGGCACCTTGACTAGTGCCCTGGAGTGTCTCTTGTTCCCACTGCCGCTGCTCAGGAATTGTCAAGGAGGGATTTTTTTAAAAACCCTCATTTTCTATCCACAAGCTTAAAATGCAGTCCACTCCATACGATGCCTGAATACCAAGTAGAGCTTTTATCTTAAGAATGAGTTCTCCAAAGTGCAAGCAGCAGCTGCTGTGAGGAGTCTCAGTTGGTGTCAGAGCTGTGTTTGGACCATTTTTGTAGGCCCAGCGGTTTGGCAGAATTTCAGTGGCTTGCTGGTGACAGAATCTTGGTTTTCAATTTGTGGGGAGGAAAAAAAACTCAGGTTTCCGGGAAAGATCAAACATTTGAACCTCTGCTGCTTCATTGACCGGTGCCCCAGTACCTGCAGTCACTAACAATAATGCATTACCGGGTAGAGATAAACTCAACTACCAAATCACAGCCTGTGTACAGATGATTTTATAATCTGCGAATCACGCACACCAATACAGAGTGTTAGTTTCTGGATAATCTTAGTACAATAGCATCCTGATACCTTTGGGCATGATGTAATGTTCTAAACCATCAGAAATACTAGTTGCAATAGTATGGAAAACATTACTGATTGCTGCATTGATAGGTCAGTCTAGCAAATTCTTGACCGTTCAGATCAACCAGGTCTGTCTGTTTAAGCATGCAAATGGGTCTGACAGAGGAGCCCTTTAGGAAGTCTGGTTTGACAACTACATTCCTCTGTGCAGGTGAGTCCATTCAGAAGCAAATGGGCAGCATTGTTCGGTTTTGCACAGGTACTAGGCTGCAGCAGTTTCCCAGTCTCCCTAATAAGGACATCTTCTTAAGGCAACAACAACTCCGAACAGCAACCTGCCTGGGAATTCTGCTGCTTTGTGAGAAAGAGGTGTATATTTGATTTTATAACACAAAGGCACATAAGCACAATGTTTTCCTACCAGGATGTATCTAAATTTGCCCAACAATAGCAAGGGGTTTGCTGTTCAGTCCAGCCCTAGGGGGAAAAGCACCTTGGGTATCCTCGCCCAAATATAATGTTACAGAGGATGATCTAACAGGGGCACCATGGGACCCAGCTAATATGGGGGGCCTCTTGGGGAATGAGCGAGTACTTTGCAGCAGCATGTGCTCAGCTGTTGCGTCTTCTCACTCAGCAGCCTCCATGTCTGATGTCTCAGAACATCGCTTGGTGGCTGGACACACACCCTGGTGTCTCTCAGCTTACATCTCAAAAGCAACAGCCAATATTCCTTTTAACCTGCCACATTGCCAAGGCTTCTGCTTCTGGATTCCATGTATGATTCAAATGATCTCCTTTACACAAGATTTTGTCCCTGGATTTTTTCTTTCCCTGTCTTTCTATATTTGTGCTTGCACTACTGCAGGGTGGCAATTTGGTGGTGAATGGTGAATGAACGGAGCTTCTCCTTCTGCCAAGGAAAGGCTGTCACTGCCTCCTAGTTATGGGGGATCAGCCCCAGTCCCTGACAGAGCCTGCCTCCTCAGTACCAGCAAGTGGGGAGCACAAACACAATGAACCCTAGCATGCCCTTACAATCCAATAAATTCAGAGGCAGCAGGAATGGCAAGGAACTGACTGCCTCCATTCAATCTGCCACCCAGCGCGGCATTCTGGATTTCCTAAAGCCTTTTTCATGTTGACCCCAAGGACATCCTGGAGCCATCTGAGGCCCACTGTAATATATTCACTAGGCATGTGAAGGACAAAATCTCTTGTATCTGCCAGGACTTGGACTTCAAGTAGAATTCTTTCAAGGGCAACCTAGAGATAAGGTGTGAATTGAAGACATGCCAAGATGTATGACAAATAACCAAGAAGGTGGGGGCCATGAGAAAGTATCTTCAGTGGTGATGTAGACTATAAAACATTGTTCTGTTATTGACTGGGACTGTCCCCTGGAGTTCACCTGTACATGTTTATAAACAGTATCACCTCTTGTGCTGTATTCTTAATAAATGTTGCTGGACAGATTTTTTCAAATCTAGATGGTCTGTTTCCCATCTGATCTGATTATACACACACACACACACACACACACACACACACACACACACATCTGTTTTAAATTTGGTTTTAGATTTACAGTTGTGTGAATGGTTAGTTCAACAAAATGGAAGGTAACAGGTGACTCAGTCTATTCTAATCCAACACTCCTGTGATGGTCCCATTCTGGACCATGATGCCCTGCCTGTGATTTACTCCTTTAAAATGGCCAAAAAGCTGCCCATGCAATTTCTCATTGCATGAACAGCCTCCCTTCCAAGTTGGCTTGAAGGCTGGTGCAGCAAAAATACATAATTATTATTGCACATAATCACCTAGATGGAAGAAACACATAAACTTGAAAATTGAGCTGAAAGCAACAGAATGAGATTCAGTAAGGACAAGTGCCAAGTGTTCCACCTGAGAAAAAGAAACTAAGTGCAATGATACAAGAAGGGGAATGCATGGCTCAACGGAACTGGAAAAGAGAAAAATCTTGGAGTAATTGTGGACAATAGGTTAAATATGAGCCAGCTATGTGATGCAGCCACCAAAAGGACAAATGCTATTTTGGGATGCATTAACAGAAGTATTATTTCCAAATCATGAGAAGTGGTAGTTCCTCTGTACTCCTTCCTAGTCAGACCTCATCTGGAATACTGTGTCCACTTCTGGGCACCAAGATTTAGGAAAGATGCAGAAAAACTAGAAAGGGTCCAGAGAAGGGCAACAAAAATGATCCATGGTTTGGAAATACTGCCCTATGAGGAGAGACTGAGAGAACTGGGCTTGTTCAGCCTTGAGAAGAGAAGACTGAGGGGGGACATGATATCCCTCTATCAGTACCTCAAAGGCTGTCACAAAGAGGAAGGTCAAGCTCTCTTCTTGCCAATGCCAGAGTGTAGGAAATGGAATAGTCAACTCAAGTTGTGATAACACAGATTTGGGCTAGATATCAGGAAAAGCTTCCTCACTGTCTTAGCAATATGACGGTGGAACCAGCAGCCTACAGAGGTGATAGGCCCTCCCACACTAGAGACATTCAAAAAGAAACTGGACAGTCATCTGGGTCAAATGGTGTACTGTAGTGTATGTCGTGTAATTCTATGACCTACCTCTTTTCTGAACTCTGGACTTCGTGACCTATTGCACTATCAAACAGGGACTCCTAATATCCAGCATAGCGAACTGGACTGAGGGTTTGTGATATTGCAGGAATGCAACTTCAACCAGGGCAAAGATCGGAGGAGTGAGGCTATGGAGGGGAACCAGGGCACATTACATCTGTCAAACAGGGAATCACACAGAATGGCCTTAGAGCTCAGGTCCTGCCCAATCGGTGTGAGGAGAGGGGATGTGAGGCAAGAACCTACCCAGCTGGATGATCTCCACTCCCTGGTACTGCAGAGCCAAATTCTTCAAGTCCTGAAAGATACCAAAAACAGAGAGCTGGATGCAGTATCAAGAGGGGGTGCTTGGATGATCTGAGACGGGCTGGAAGGAGGCAGGAGGAGGGTGAGTCCCACCCGGTTGGATTTCTCAGCTGGCGATGCATCTGCTGCATTGCTGCGACCCAGGAGAAGTGACACACCGGGGCAGTCAAGAAGCAAGGCAAGGTGCTTCTACCCACCCCAGGGGAAGTCGCT